TTCAGAACCTGAATGGACTCAGCTAAATTAATCTTTGAGTCAGTTGCGCATGTCTCCCTCCGCATGAGTCATCGGTGCAGGACTGGGTCAGTGTCTGACCTCTGCCTGCTCATGAGCTCTCAGTATGTTTTAGTAATGACAGTCAGACATAGATTCTTTCTTTACAGTCAAATTGGTTATATGCTTGCATGGATGGGCATTTTTAAGCAGACACAGACGTCACAGGTCATGTTGTGCCTTGAGTAGCCGGCAGACAGACATCAGAGTTTAGTTACTTGTGTCTCAGTTGGCTTAAAGCATCATGAATAACTGATTGGTCGTGTCTCTATACAGACACGCATGAAGAAAAGGAAGTGGCTCTCTGCATCATGAATAACATGATTTGTTTTTGTGAGGAAAATTAATGACTAAACTAAAGCAATTGTTTAACCTTTTCAGTTTTCATCACGCTTTGTATTGTTAGTGTCGGTATTATATGTTAATAAACGATGTTTACTCGTTCTCTGTGTTACCTGGACCGAGAAATTCACGTTTATTTGTCAGCAAATGCCCGCCGCATGACGTGTTTTGACAGCTTTCGTGAAAACTACAGATTATATTTCTGCATTTTTGTATTCCCAACCACGGACAGTCGGATCGACAGAGGGTTATTAACAGGACAGGTATTGTAAGGGAAGGTTTATCACTGAAAATTGTATAATACACGTAGTGTATTTGTTTAAACATAGCTGTTTAAAGAGTAGACAATGGCAACAGCTTTCTTACCTGTACATGACGGCGTTTTGCTTCGGGGGGTTGAGCAGATCTGACAGAACGTCAGTTTCTTTCAGTGTTTCCCCTCCATTTGGCCTAAAACACTGTGTTTGTGGTCATCAGTTTGAAATGTTGACTACAAACACTGAGGTTTTTCAGTTTTTCCATCATTGCGTTCTCTCCATATCTACGATTCTTTGCAGCCTTTAGCCGCTGCCTACAACACACTGAATCCTTCACTGGAAACCAGTAACTCACTACTCTACTCTAACATTTACTCTGAATTCTTGCACTCAGGTTCAATACAAGTCGACACTATTATGGCTAAAAGTTTGCTAAGAAGTATTTCCTACTAAAGCAAGGCGGGATTTGACTAGGGGTGGGGGAAAAAATCGATTCTTAGATGCATCGCGATGCGGACGTGGACGATTCTGAATCGATTCACAATTGTCAAAAATCGATTTAAAAAAAACAACAACATTTTTTTAGATATATATTTATAATAACGTAATATTGACGGAACGCGAAAGACGGAACTCTGAAGCGCGGAAGTGCAGTGGCCGGACCGTCTGTGGCGTGCACATAACAGACGCGGACGCGATGGCTGAGCGCCAAATCCAAACACCCTCCTCGTTAAAAGCTGACGTGTGGAAATATTTTGGCTTCTGAAGTTGAAGGGGGAAAGGAGCTGGACAAGAGCCACACTAGTTGTAAGCTTTGTAGAGTAAAACTAAAATATTTCGGAAACAAGACACATGAAGCCAAATGACACTTTTCCAGCCAGAGGAGGAAAAACACTCGGCTGTAACGTTACCGGTCGTTGTTATATTATTAATTTACTACAAATATGCTGCTGCTAGTTCAGACACACATGTATTTTCCTGTTGGTTCTTTGCAATGTTAATAAAATATATTGTACGTTAATTCTTTATGGGTCATTACTTTGTACTTTTAAAGCAAAGTATTTATAGTCACACACACACAAAAAAAAGATTCTGATAATCGATTTAGCATCGAATCGCAGCCCTCTGAATCGTAATCGAATCGAATCGTGAGGTGCCTAGAGATTCCCACCCCTAGATTTGACTCTGCTAAGCGTCGTACAGTATGTGTGTGTGTGTATATATATATATATATATATATATATAATATTATATTATATAATTTTTTTGTATTTTTCACTGTATAATTGGTTTAGATACACAATATTATACAGCTGCTCTTATATTTTTGGGAGGGGTCCCTTGTGGGGGGTGGCGGGGGATTTGTGACATCAAAAAGTTTGAAAACCCCTGAAGTAGAGGACTGAAACGTTAATAATGTTAATTAATTATTAATAATGTATTTTTTACTTGCTGTACTACTATATATTTGGTTATAGAAGTTCTGTAGTGTTAGATGTGTTATGAACGAAACTCTTTTGTTATATTATATGAATGTTGTATTGTTTTTTTTATAACAGACCTCTAATAAAGCTCTGCTCTCAAACGTAAACTGTAGAGTGCAATACATGAGATTAGATTTCCTGATAAATTTATGATGAAATACTTGTAAGAACTAATCTGATCTGGTTATATCACTGTAGTGGTTTTCTTTCACAAAGTATTATCCAAGTCTTCAATGTAGTATTGTATATTAGTAATCTGTCTCCTGTTACTTTATGGCCCCTTTAGCGTGAGTGAGGAGCTGCTGTTTAGCCAACAAACTGTTTGGCAGAGAGATTTGGGGTTGTTGTACCTTGCTTACTAGCGAAGACAAACACACAATAGTAGGCTGTCAGTGGTGTTTCCACTGTCCACATATGGGCTTGTGGTGGAACGGCCTGTCCGTGTACAGTAAACATGAGATTATCAGAGCTAGAACAGGTTTGTCAGCACATCACCACCTTGGGATTTGAGCTGTGTGTAGTCTGGAGCCGCTCTTGACGTCGACATCCGACCACTCGGGGGACGATCCGTGCTGGAAACATTGGAAGGGAAAAAAACAACTAAATATAAAGCTACTTTGGGCAGTCAGATGGGTTTAAACATTCAGCCATACAAGGAAATAGATTGTGTGTCCCACAGCTCTCAGCCTTAAATAGTGTATTGCACTTTTATTTTTATATATATATAAATGTAAGGGTTATTGTGCAAATGTATTTTAAACATGCCCCTTGTTTAATTGATCACTAAGTAAAGTGGACATTTTTGCGATTGTGATTTGTCGGTCACCGTGATTATGCCTAACCCTATCCCAACCCCTAAACCTAACTTTACCCTTGAGTTATCCCTAAAACCAGAGGGAAATGATAGATGAATAACACTGATGTAGAAGCATATAACCCTGGTTGTAAGCCTAAACTTGTAGGGCCCTATGAAATCCGTTTTATGTTTTCCCAAATTCCGTTTTTTCCGTTTTTAATTTTTGGGAATTAATTTTGTTTTAACCTTTACTGTTATTTTAGTCATAAAAAGAGTGTGCTTTTAAGTTAATGATTAAAATGTATAGAAATAAAATAGGAATGACCTTAAATTACAGACATTTACTTTTTCAGGACAAATACTGCATGATGCAACATGACACTGCACTCTTCAAGTAACAACAAAATATGGTTATGAGCTTTAAACTGTCCAGTAAAATAAATTATATTAGTTTAAAGTTTAAATAAAAGTCACACTCTGTCTCTCTCTCTCTCGTCCAGTGTCGCTCGCGGAGTTCGCTTCGCTTTTGTCCAGTCCGGCGCCTCATAGACAGACAATAGTGTGTGTGTGTGTGTGTGTGTGTGTGTGTGCGTGAATGTGAGAGAGACGAGTGAGTGATAGAGAGACGGAGGGAGAGCGGGGAAAGGAAATACAACTGGAAGAATACGCTGTGTGTTTTAAATAGCGTAAAAAAATGAATGAAACGCAATATGTGGCGGCCGGAGTTGATTTTGTGGCCACGAATTAGTCTATGTGTGGGAAACACTGCATAAAAGTCACGTGCGAACTGCTCGGCTCGGTACTGAGGGCTTATAGCGTCGAGTTTCTTAACTTTTTCGCCGACGAAAGCAAAGCCGTGGAGAGCTAACCTGGCCCTAGCCAGATGAATTTCGCTCCGCCTAGGCGAAGCGAAATTCATCTGGCTAGGGCCAGGTTAGTGGAGAGCCGCTTCGCCATGCTTTCATTGTTTTGATGCCGTCATTGGAGCTGAAATGACGGGAGGGGTTGTGTCGCCCAGATTTGCTTCCCTCGTTCTCCATTTTCAACAGGCATACGTTCTTCTCCCACACAAAAACAGAATTTCAATCCAAATATGTAAAATTCCACGAAATTCCGCGTTAACACTAGATTCCGCGTTAATTTGCCAATTCCATCCGCGATTCCGTGATCGCGGAAATCATAGGGCCCTAAACTTGACATAAATTGTAAACTTGTCCCTCAAATCTGATTGGTTGATTGGAATGTTATTCCAGGATCCACAAAGATGTTGATCCATGTTCATGTTCATATTTGCCAGCAGCCATATCACCCTGTAGCCCAAGACTGGTTGCCCACTGAAGCTAAGCAGGGCTGAGCCTGGTTAGTACCTGGATGGGAGACCTTCTGAGAAAACCAGGTTGCTCCTGGAAGAGGTGTTAGTGAGGCCAGCAGGGGGCGCTCACCCTGTGGTCTGTGTGGGTCCTAATGCCCCAGTATAGTGACGGGGACACTATACTGTCAAAGAGCACCGTCCTTCGGATGAGACGTTAAACCGAGGTCCTGACTCTCTGTGGTCATTAAAAATCCCAGGATGTCTTTCGAAAGAGTAGGGGTGTAACCCCGGCATCCTGGCCAAATTTGCCCAGTGGCCTCTGTCCATCATGGCCTCCTAATCATCCACATATATATATACACTGATTGGCTTCATCACTCTGTCTCCTCTCCACCAGTAAGCTGGTGTGTGGTGGGCGTTCTGGCGCACTATGGCTGCCGTCGCATCATCCAAGTGGATGCTGCACATTGGTGGTGGTTGAGGAGATTCCCCCTTCCATGTGAAGCGCTTTGAGTGCCTAGAAAAGCGCTATATAAATGTAATGAATTATTATTATTATTATTATATATCAGCCATGCGTTATTATTATTGCTATCCTGGAAACACAGACTGGCTGTCAGTATACAGTAATTTGTTCAGTACATGTAATGTTAATCTGTATGAAACTGCAGTGGTATTTAACATTGGCTTTTGTCTTTGTCAGCACTGCTCTGAGTGTAAATGATGACCTTTCACCTTTCCCTTCCCTTCAGCTTGACCTGAGTCAGCCATTAGAGGAGCAGGGTCCCCTGGACGTCATCATTCACAAGCTAACGGACCTGATCCTGGAGGCGGACCAGAATGACACCCAGTCGCTGCTGCTGGTCCAGCGTGTGCAGGTGAGGAGTGTGTGGTGGGCTTGTCTGAGCATGTGTGTGTGTTTGTAGAGCAGATCTACAGCTCTGATTAAGATGCAGGAATCTCAATCTGATTAAGCAGCGAGAATTTGATCTACCTGAATTTAATCTCTATGTCAAATGAATGCAATAATCTCAGCACAGTGATCATTATGGTAAATCTTTTGCTGTTTAGGCTGTGTTCACACTTGGCATGCTTGGTTGGATTAAAACGAACCCTGATGCGATTGCTCTGTTAGTGTGGTTCATTTTAATTAAGTGTGAACGCTGCAATCCGAACCCTGGTGCACCGAACAAGCGGACAGAGACGAGACCGCTGAAAAGATGGGTCTCGGTCCACTTCCAAACCAACTCTGGTGTGGTTGAATGAAATATGAATGCATATTTAATATTTAAAGGACAGAATGCTCAAGCATACCTGTTTTATAGTTTTATAAAACATACCATAGTTGTGATGTTGCCCATCACAGTTTGGTACAGGCATCAGAACCACGTCTCCTCGCAGCAGATCTGTGTGTGTGTGTGTGACGGAGGGATTCCTGCTGCTGTTTTGACTCCTTTACACATTTTATAAACTCTTCACGAGTTCTCAGCTGGTCAAAATACCATCATATGTAGCTACGCACATACAACAAGCGCATTTATCCCAGAACACAGCATTGTTTTGTATGTTCAGTAAGTTCCACCGTGAAATAGAAGCCGACCAATCAGGTTGTGAACATATCCCTATGCCTTTAGGTTCGGTATCTTAAGGATCAGTGTTAAAAATGCCAATATAAATGCTAAGCAGACCAGGACTAAATGTTTTTTTGTTTTTGTCTGGACGAGATGAACCAAGCGAACATAACTACAAGTGTGAACACACCCTTACAGTAAATATTGTTGTCTTCGTTTATCTAAATTAATATTGAATTAATATAAATTAATGTTTGAATATCTTTCTCTCTGTTTGGGATTTTATTTTATTTTTTATATTTAGTTCATTTTAATGGGGCATAAAGGTTTAATCTCATTTTCATTCTTTGTTTCATTTTATTTTTTAATATATATTTAGTTTCAGGAATAGGAAGAAATTGCATCATACTCAATCTCAAATTAGGAATGCGTCGGTACAACAATATACTGAAATTACGTAATATAATATTTTTTTATTATTTTCATTTTGTATTATAATTTAGTTGTGTACATTTAATATATTATTTATTTCCTACAGTTCAATAAAAAAAAAGGTTGCAAATCACTGGACTGATAAAATCGTTGCGTTCGTGACCTCTGAAATTGAGTGGTGCAGGTTTGACGTCAGAACCCAGAAGACTAATTCTCTGCTGGTTCCCTCAAGATTTTCCTATGGGGATTTATTATGGGTTTTTTCCCCCCATTTGGGAGTAAAATAAAGCCTGTGGTAAACATAACTTGACTGTACCTTCACATTTTGTTCTACACCGTAAAATACACACACCCATACTAGGGGTGGGAATCTTTGGTCACCTCACGATCCGATCCGATTCCAGAACGATTCTTTATCTACCCCCCCCCCCCCTTATTAATTCATTAGTTTACATAAGTAATTAAGTACTTTTTAAAAAATAATTACAAATTAATTGTTTTTTATTAAAACAGTTGTATGTTAAGAATTTTAAACTAATATAGGCTATCTAATATAACAAATAATAAAGAGGAGCATAGAAAAATATAACAAACAACAAACAAAAAGTGCTTTCAGTAGCATCGATGGATCGATTTTTTTCTCCCACCCCTAACCCATACTGAAAAGCAGTCACGTTTATTTTTTGGAAACATAAGTAACTAGATAAAACAGTTTGGGGTGTGAGTGTGTTCAGTTTACGTTGTAGAACAAAACGTCATAGAGTATCATCAAGTAATGTTTACCAAACCTCATTTTACTCATAAATTGAAAAACTCCATTATAAAACCCCATAGGAAAATCTCGAAGGAACCAGCGGTGAATTGGTCTTCCAGGCTCTGACATCATCCCCGCACCACACTATTAAATTCACATAATGCAATGTAATCTTTTTTTATTTGTGAATTTTTTGGTTAACATTTTTGACTGCTTTTTAAGTTTTCGTTTTCATCAGTAATAAAATTGCACTACAGATATTTCTACTTCAATTCAGATTTCCATCTTACAACTTTGTTTTTGTTTTGTGGTCTTATGAAATGTCACCTCAAGTACTCACCTCTAAATGAGAACGTAAGAGCGCTGAGCCTCTTAATGTTCTTAAACAAAGCTCTCCCCTAAGACCCTGCTCTCACTAAGCATGCGCTTAGATGTATATTACATAGATTTACACAACACACAGAATGATTGAGCACAGTGTTCAGTTTAAACCCTCTGAAAAACTGTAGATGTGTCTGTCTTCAGCTGTTCTGTTTAACCTTTTTTCCCCGTTTAATCAGTGCTGGAAGAATATTAGTCTTCATACATTCGTATTTTGGAGGCGATTTGATCTAAGAATCAATATGCTTGGATCTGTGACTAAATTTCCCAGTCAATGAGTGATAGAAATGAGAAATCACATGACAAAAGAATGTATTTCAGTGAAATTACTCATGATTTGAGAGCTTGAGTGAATGGGGACAGTGAAAAGAGAGAGAGAGCGAGTGGTTATGTAAAAGAAACAACCTCGCAGCTTTGCATTCAGTTAGCCTGACGTAATAGCAGTGCAACTGGGCTTCATGTGTACATGTCTTTGTATGTGTGGCGTGTACCTTCATGCATGTTGGATGCCTTTTAACAACACCAATAAGTGATGTTGGAACTTGTTGTTCACTGCTGTTTTAGCTTCTTCCCTTCTCAATGTCACCTCCACACCTTCATTGTTCTGCCCTGTTCCACTGGTCTTGCAGGATTATATTGACGCTCACCCAGAGACCATTATTCTTGACCCACTTCCAGCCATCCGAACTCTGCTGGATCGCTGCAGGTCCTACCAGCTGGTGCACAGGATAGAGGACTGTATGAGAGGTAATATGATCCAGCACCCTTGGCCTCATTCCAGCACTATTCATGAAAAATCATTTATGCAGTTTTCAAGTTTTGCAAATGGTGATATGCCCAACTAAAAGAAGCAGTCAGTCGGCACTTAAACTCTTTGTAGTTGAATGAGGTGAACTTGTCAATGTAATGTTCTGTAACACAACAGTTCGCATGTTGAGCTGTGGCGCTCATGCAGGGGAACAGGTTTGAGTCCGGCCTGCAACATGTCCCATTCTGTTTAAAAGAGTAGTTCTCCCAAAATTAAAAAGTAAAAATTCAGTTCTGTGTCTTTCCAAAGACTGTGTCTTTCCAAACCCGTATTACTTTCTTCTGTGGAATAAAAAAGGGCATTTTGAGAATATCCGGAAATCTTTTCCATACAGTCGAGGAGAAAGAGGAATGGGGTTGTGAAGATCCAAAATGACAAAGAAACACCATATAAGTATAATAAAAATGATCCACATAACACATGCTCAAGCGTTAGTTTTGTGTGACTAACAGGCTGAGATTTGAGTCATTATTCACAGAAAATCTTGATATCCACCTTATAGCTCTGCATGTTTATGCGAAAAGTAAACTATCCGATTCGTTTGTGAATGAAATGAGTCCAGTTCGCTCAAGAATGATGACTAAATGAACTAAACTATAACGATATTTCTATTAGTGTCCACACACCAGCGGACGATATGGTTCTGTTTATTCCAAGCGCGCGCTGCAGTTTTGTCATCCGCCTCTTTAAATGCTAGAGCTTATAAAGCAGGATGGGTTCTTATTAGCTGTGAAAGTTTTTATTATTCTTCAACGATATATCCAACAAAATCATTTCTCTGGGCCGTTATAGTTGTGGTGTGGACTCTACTATTCTTTTAATGATTTTTAAAACTATATCTTTATCGTTATAGGCAAATGGGCCTTTGCTATTTGCTATTTATTTAAAGGTATCCTTTTGCAGTGTAATTATACATTTAAGTACTGATTAATATGGGTTAACAACATGTAATGCAACTATGCATAATTTACTGATTGATTGATTTGATTGATAGATACTTTTATTAATCCCGAAGGAAATACAAGGCATCCAGTAGCTTATACAGCAAAAATACACAAAACACACTATCAAATTTACCAAATATAAAAATAAAAGAAAATCATTGCTAACAGTATCATATTCAAGTATAAAAATATATAAATATATACATCAACTTGATAAAAAAAAGTACGAGATAGTCATTTGTACTAAAGATAATATGGCTTACCTGTGCCAAAATAAGAATTAAAAAATATATATAACCAAATACAAATAATGATTGTGCATGAAGGCTAATATAAATAATATAGGTTACATTTTATTTTAATGTGTCCGTTACAATATTATTATACATTTAGCTACTGAATAATATTAATTAACTACATGTCCTTACGATAGGGTTAGTTTATTATTTATTTATTTTATTTATAAAGCACAATGACAGAACTTAAATTGAGTGAATTGATCTTTTTAACATTTGATTTCTCCAAAATACCCATATTATAGCGGTCTCAACTCCCCTTGCACAGAACGCATTTGGTTGTGGCCTGTACAGACGTGTATGTTCAGCTATATTTGTCTTTGAGGGAATCATGTGTGTCCACGTTCTATTGAACCAGACGTGACAGATGGTTATGTAACAAAATCATCTGTAAGCCCCCAGTCTGTGTCTCTCCTTTTCTCCTTCTGCCCTGATATCAAAACCTCCCGCTCTTTAATTCAAGAAAACATGAAAGACATGTTCGGCTACGCTGCAAACATTTCAATTGAATGAATTACATTATATGCCAATTAATAAACCAAATGAATCGCAGTTAATCACATACAGGTGAAACTCGAAAAATTAGAATATCCTGCAAAAGTTCATTTATTTCAGTAATTCAACTTAAAAGGTGAAACTAATATATTATATAGACTCATTACATGCAAAGTGAGATATTTCAAGCCTTTATTTGTTATAATTTTCATGATTATGGCTTTCAGTTTATGAAAACCCCAAATTCAAAATTAGAATATTGTGAAAGGTTTTCATAAGCTGTAATCCATAATCATGAAAATTATAACAAATAAAGGCTTGAAATATCTCACTTTGCATGTACTGAGTCTCTATATAATATATTAGTTTCACCTTTTAAGTTGAATTACTGAAATAAATGAACTTTTGCACGATATTCAAATTTTTCGAGTTTCACTTGTATATAATTATTTTCTAAAAAAGGCCATAAATGAAGAATTCAAAAATGCACATTCTGGAATTCTGTCTACAATTTATTTTTTGTTTTTAAATATTATAACACATCTCTGCAATTGTGTCACATCTTGCGATATGAGTGTCCTGTTTTTAATGCCGGTCCACATTTTGTACGATTTTGGCTGTCTCCGACAGACTGAAGATGACCAATCGTGGGGATTTCTGTGGTCGTGGCTCCTATTGATCAACAAGACATGGTTCTAAAACTTAAAACTACTTACATCAAGCTTCATTTGCAAAATTGGCATGCCAAGTTGGCCTCTTTTCCTTAGCAATGACTGCGCCCATATTCTCCTCTTTTGCGGTGGCGTCTTTTTTTAAGTGCACATAAAAACCACAATTGCCAAAGTGTGATTCTTCTTGCTCTATTTGTTTACAACTAGCGAATGCTGATGTTTTATTCTTCTATACTAACTTGCGTCGTAGCCTATGACTCAATAGCTGTCATCACAGGACAGTCTACATAGGCTACATGTCGTACCCAAGTTTATTAGATCCATGTCGTACAGTGCGATTTGTAATGACCTTATTGAATTGCCGAAATCGCAAAAATATTCCTGTCTGTAGCAGGAATAAGACCCTGTCAAGATTAAAATTAGTTTACCTTGGAAGATTAAAATTGGTTTAACTGTAGACTGACAAAAAGCTCTCTCCAATGGTAGGAAAAATCCATGTAACAGAATTTTTGTACAGGTCAGGAGGCACTAAATTGCATGAAATCGCAACACGTAACAAGTGAGAGTTGTCATATTAAACATGCTGCAATGTACATGCTACATTGGACGCCGCCAGTACTTGTTTGCAAGATAACACAACTACCACCAAATTACACTCTGGCCATCTGTCACCCTCCCCGTTTCTTTCGTCCTCACATCCCTCTCTTTAGCAGCCGTAAGCATGTCTGACAGTGTTACCATAGCAACACAAGTGGCAGCCACTCTAGACACTTTAAGCATAGCAGCGTTCACACCATATTGGGTAAAATAGTTTTCGATATTTTGATTTGTCATCTTCAATGCTTTTTTAAAATAACTTAAAAGCACATTGCTAGCTAGTTACATAAAACACCTAAACAAAACTAAAACAGCAGACGGACTGAATGAAAATGCAAATTCACTCTCTGCCAGTAGGTGGCGCTTACGGAACAGAAGCGGTTTCTTATGTTACCGCTGTACACGAAGTAGCGCTGCGCTTATAAACACTACTATAATACACATTATACGGAGGTAAGAGGAAAAGAAAATGCCCCCACCCCCAATATAATACACATCTGTGCTCTCCTCTCCTCTTTGCGTCCCTATTCAGCGTGTCCCATCTCTGGCCTCTGGTAACGACTTAGTAATATGTGCACACATTGCATTTTGGGAAATGATTGCAATGCAGTTTGTGTGCAAGTCCTGAACCAAGATCAGCCAAAATAAAACAAAAAACTGGCCGGTTTGTATTCAAATTTTTTATTATTATTTTTTTTTACCTGTTTAATGACTGTACTGCCCAGCACTATTTACGTATATTACACAGTTACCTAGTTCTGGCATGAAACTCTAGATGGCGCAGCCTGATAGGTCTTTAACTCATTTGGTAGCAGCAATCACGTCATCATCTACATACAGGGTTCGTACGGGTGCTTGAAATCCTGGAAAATGCTTGCATTTTGAGGTGTTTTTAAGGTTTTAAAAGTGCTTACATTTTGGATAAAATGCTTGAAAATGCTTGAAATTGTAAATGTATTTCTTTCACAACAAATACCTAACTGACTGAATAGTTTGTTTATTAAATGGAGAAATAAAATGTAGCCCTTCAGATACAGAAGGATCAGATATTTAAGCAAGTCACAAGTTTTATTTTTCAAAATGTATCACTGTCGAAGTAGAAAAATGCCTATGACTTTGGCTGACGCAGCAACAAAACGTCCTCGCGCGGCGCAAGCCATTAAAATAAATGGGTTTCGTAGCGCAGCGCATTCCGCGTCCTGTCTGAAAGGGCACGTTCATTTGTGGAATATGCAGTGAACATAGCCAAAGTTCAGAGATGTCAAAATTACTCACTTCCCATACTCAAGTAGAAGTACAGATACATGTGTTAAAAAAATACTCTGGTAAAAGTAGAAGTACTGATTTAACTTCTTCTTTACTCAAGTAAAAGTAACAAAGTACAGGCTTGGAAATTTACTTAAAGTATAAAAGTAGCCTTGCGAATGACAACCATTTTTTTATGCAATATTTACACTGCTCTATTCCAGTAGATAAATGTATATGCCTTGAAATTACTACAGTTTTACAGGCTGATTTGTAAGCAATATTTGGACATTAATATACTGTAATGAAAAGTATTATTCATAGGCATGAATTTTCTACTTAGACAGTGATACATTTTGAAAAATAAAACTTGTGATTTGCTTAAATATCTGATCCTTCTGCTATTACGAAACACAATTTTGGCTGTTTATAGCATTATCTCTTTTAATGTAATAAAATGGAATAAAAACACTAAATAATAATTTTGACTATGTAATTTACGGTAGTGTGGTGCTGGAAAAAGCTTTAAAATGGACCTTGAAAGTGCTTGAATTTGACCTTGGAAAAGGTTTACGAACCCTGTACATAGCACAGCTGATTGGATGCTGTTGCATTCAGCGGCCAATGAGCTGCAGCTCAACATTTAAACAAATACCGGTAATGTTGCTGTTTGCAGTGCAGCACTCTTTCA